GCTCCCATTGGCCTGGAGCAGTGAACCGCGGCCACTGGGAGCCACGATCGGCCGAACCTGCGGACGCGGCAGGTAAACAAACCGGCCAGGGGCTTTCCCTGCACAAGCGGCGGAACAAATTTGGGAACCACTGGTGTAGAGGGACGCTAACTAGATGCCCAACCGTACCCAGAGCCCTAATTCATTTATTTTTATCAGCATTGAGTCACCCCACAAATGTAGGACCAGAAAAATAATCTAATATGAGAAAAGCTCTAGCCCTACATAAAGGACTGTGGATTGAAATCACTATAAACAGAATTCTGGTAACGTAGGATTCTGATTATAACATGGGAGCCAGCACAGGAACTGTTTTAATGACTTCATCTGCCACCTCAGCGAACTTCTGGCTGTTTGCAGGAAAACAAATATGAGCACCAGGTGTGGTATTCATGAAGCAAGGACTGTCTGCTTATGTCCAAAGAAATCTCGCTTGATGTTGAGGCGGCAGTATTCTTCTCCATAGCTATTCACTCATTGCAGTGAGATGTTCCCAAAGTTGAAGCATTGGTTTTCTTCCTGCAGGTATCCAAAGGAGCAACAGGCTTTACTTGTCCAGAATGTCTTTCTCACTGGTGGAAATACCATGTACCCTGGACTGAAAGCCAGAATCCAGAAGGAGCTACTTGAAATGCGGCCATTCCAGTCTTCTTTTCAGGTGCGGTATTGTCTGTGAAAATGCACAAGCTCACAGTGTATTCCATTAAAAAATCAGTAAGGCATGCGTAGGAGAAGTGTGAGATGAAATCCAAGTCTCCTGTATGTTTTTGTAATGACACTTGCAAGGTTCTTCCTACCCATCTCAAAACAAGTTTTCCCACAGCTTTCCCCACAACTTGCCTTTACTTTTTAAATAGTAGACTGGCCTATAGACAGTATAAAATGACTGATGTAATCATAGTCTATTAATTTAATATCTGTTGCTTTGCAATTTGATGACTTTACATAGCACTGGCCTTCATATCATTGACCAGTGCAGAAACATGGATGCAGCCATGTTTTTGGCAGTTGTAATAAGGGTTACTGTTGAATGCCACTCACTGTTTTTCTGTATATTAACCACCTTTGGGTGGCTTTCTTCTAATCACGTAATCCTCTTATTTGCTGCTGTGCTCTGTGTAGTTCTGCTGTACACAGCTGAAGGTGAATTTGGGACTGCTAGCTTCCTCACAGCAACATAGTGCCAGCTTTTGGTGTCCCTACTTCGTTACTCTTGATATAGTCTCTTCCTTTCTCTTTTCTTCTACCCAGCAACCTGCCTTCCCATCTGGCCTACCCAGCCCCGCATGAGGTGACACTCCCTGTTAGTGCACTACATCCAACATGCTTGCATTGCTATTCCCAGCTGCACTGTAGCACCATACAGCTGGATGTTGGCTTTCAGGGAGTGAGAGTTAAGTGCTTGGAACACAATCAAGTAGGTTCCCAGCTATTTGATCATATTAAATGCAGGATCACTGTAGCCAATAAGTCAGGTAGAATAAGTTGGCAGTTCTTAAACTGTGTTCTGGAAAGTTGACTGTTTACATTGTGCTGGCTTTTCTGGTTTCCTGCTGCTGACTCAAAAAAACAAAACAAAAAACCTCCAAGTAAAAAACTAAGCACCCTATAAGGACTTCCTTATTAAGCAATTATTGTAGTTGCCGCACTGACGTTATGTGATCATATATGGGAAGGGAGGTGTCAACACGATGATCTTCCCAGTAAGATGTGGTCCACACTGTAGAAGCCCCTGCCATAAAGTCTTCATTTTAACATTGATATCTCTTGAATCAGTGGTGGTGCTGGGAATCTCCTAGAAAAGGGCAATGTCAGTGGAATGTGATACAGTGCAAGCTTCTCCAGTACAGCACTCCTTACTGTTAATCTGCGTTCCTCTCTGCTGTTCTAGTCCTAGGTTGCCAGACCATTCTGCCAATGCGCTTAACCTGTGCTACCCCACCACTACTATTCTAACCTTGGGCTTCCACTTGTTCTGAACCCTGTGGTGGGATTTTTGATGTACATAATACAGAGGTCCACCAAACCCACTGGGGATTTGTCTTCACGAGCCAAAGAACAATACTTTGACTCCCACGACTTCCAGGGCATTGAGTGGGATTGGCTCAAACTCTTAAATATAATGTATGGAATATTGCAGTATGTAGAATTGATTTTTGTGAAGTAAGTTAAGGGGCTTCTCTCTCCCAGAATCTCTCTTGTTTTCAGGGTTCACCTACATTGACAGACCTCTTCTTTGTGCTTTCTGCTGTGTAGGTTCACCTTGCTTCCAATCCCATTCTGGATGCTTGGTATGGAGCTAGGGATTGGGCACTGGAATATGTGAACCATGAAGAAGGCTGGATAACCAGAAAAGATTATGAAGAAAAAGGTGGCGAATACCTCAAGGAGCACTGTGCTTCAAATGTCTATGTCCCCATTCGCCTTCCAAAACAGGCTCCACGGACAACTGAAGCTCTAGCACCCACCAAAGTACTGGCGGCTAGTGTAGGCAATCCCTGTGACCTGGCATAGCAGAGAGACTTTGACCATACACCCAGGGTTAAAGTGACTGCATGCCAAGCAAAGGAATAGTTGTTACCCTGCACAGTAAACTCACCATGGACTGCAGGGTGGAGCCTAGCACAGAGCATTTAGCACCTTGGGTAGCAAGTTTCTCTTGAACAATCAGGAGTGGGAGCTGTTCTCTGTCTCTAGAGCAGCAGCTGGCCTTGTCATAACACTGTAACATGGAAGCTTTCGGCAGCTCCATGTCTGATGTTGCCTGCACAGACTATGGGACTATGCATCCATTCTATGAGGGAATCGAGCAAGAGGATGAAAACAGAAGATAAATATTTCGGATGAAAAACATGATCAACCTCTTGGAATTTGAGAGTTGTATTACAGAATATGTTTTTTAGAATTCTTCAAATCAAAGAAGATTTTTTACTTTTTTATGGTGCTGTTTTATTAAACGACTTATTCTATAAACAGGGTTTATAATGTAGCAGTCCAGCAGGGGTCTCTCTTGCCCATTACAATATGAGTGGTTTGTAAGAAAACCAGCACACTTCATTGGTATTAGAAAACAGAAAGCTGGGCTGATGCACTGGCTCTAATCCTTGTTGGTTTGACCATCGATTTTTGTTTCCTCCTCCCACCCTCGAAATAAGTAATGTTTTGAATCGGCAGCCATAATTGGCTTTTATTAATCATTTGTTTTAATCACTGTCCCCTTTAGGGTCACTTGTGCTAATTGCAGTTGAAGTGTGAAGATATCCCTGACCTAAAGACCTTACAATCTCATGGGCTTGCCAGATCCTTAACTATACCTAGGATCTGGCAGAGGAGAGGTGCAGGTCAGAGTGGCCCCTTGACCTACCGATAGTTTTGAGACAATAGGCCCGAGAGATGTGACCTGACTGGTTCTCCTCCCCTCTCTCTGAGTCTGCCCCTGTTGTGGAATACCGGTTTAAGACCATCTTGCTGTGCCCATGGGTTTTAGAGCAATCTGAAAGTTAAAAGCTCATAATATATGGACTTTGACATTGGGAACCCATTGATCAAATGACCCCACCTTTGCACCACAAGCTCTACCCCAGCCCTTTCTCTGGCCCACTAGTCTTCTGTACATGTAGATCTGAAGTCAGCAGTTCACTGGGGAGGGGAGTCCTGTATCTGAGGAATCCCTGGACCAAACAACCCCAACTTGCACCATGAATTCTACCACAGCCCTAATGTAGCACAGCGATATTATGGTGGCATGGTGGTGCCACCACAGTTAAGGTTACACCAGGATTTCCACTGTAATGGGGAGGAAAAGGTTGGCCAAAATTGTCTTGCATAACTTAGATCACTTAAAGTTTATTGTAGTTTGTGTACGGTTTGGGGTTTTGTTTTGTTTTCTTCCCCTATAGCCATCTGTGGGAGGAAATAGCAATCAAGGTTTGCGGTGACCGCTTTAAAGAGGGGATGTGACTAAAAATTTTCTAGTGTCTGACATTTCCTTCAGACCCCCCTTTTCACAAATAGTACAGCACATAGGGGGCTGAATGGTGTGACCTTTAGTAGGTGTAGATAGCTTGCCAAATAAATTTCAGCTATACAAATTGATGTCTTGACGGACAGTATCCTCCTGCCATATTAGCCAATAGTGACCTTAAACCAATCCTTAGAATAGAAAACTTTCTATGGGGGTGCTTTTCTTGCTGCTCAGAAACTCTTTTGATGATGCTGGCATTGAGAGTCACAGCCACTTGCTCTCTTGTTCACACAATCCCGTTGATGAGGGTGAGGAGCCTGCTGCATAATTACATTACCCTAATGTTGCTGCTTATTAGAGTCTTCCTTCTCTTTACTGTTTTCCTTGACCATGCTCCTGAAGGAACAAATAAGCATGCATGTGTATTTTAGAGCACTTTGGAATATCAGCTCTTAAATCAGAAGCTTTGCTCTTAGGGCAGAATTTCCAGAAGAAGCCTCCGCAGAACGCAGGCAGAGAGAAACTACTGCACACAACACAGGTTCTAAGAAA